AAAAAAAAAAAAAAAAAAAAAAAAAAAAAAAAGTCTTATCTGAGGAGGTCCTAGTCATAAAGAAGCCACAAAAGGGAGAGTCAAGAAGTTTTTTTTTTTTATACCGGGAATCGAACTCAGGCCATCGCACTTGCCAGGCAGGTGGTATGCTCTGAGCTATATCCCCAGCCAAGAAATTTTTAGAAAGGATGGAATTGCTAGGCATGGTGGTGCATGCCTATAATCCCAGCACTTGGGAGGAAGCTGAGGCAGGAGGATCATTGCAAGTTCAAGGCCAGCCTGGACTACATTTTGAGACCCTGCCTCAAAAAACAAAACAAACAAAACGGTAGAATTAAGGGACCAAAAGCTAGTACCTGAGGATAGAAGTGACTTGTTCTTTATCCTTATACACTCTTAGGAGACAAGGTGTGGCGCTATATTAATTTCAAGATGTCTCCCGGTTTCCCCAAGAAACTGAATAAGGTAGAACCCAACTTGGATGCAGCTCTCTATTGGCCTGTCAACCAAAAGGTGTTCCTCTTTAAGGTACAAAGTTCCTAAGGCGGGCATATCCCTTCTTAAGGGGCAGGCGAGCTCACAGTCTTTGCAGCTGTGGTGGCTGAGGGCAGACCTCGAGGGGTCTCTAACTTCTGTCTTTGTTGTGCTCTTCTCCACATCCACCCCCCATCCCCAGGGCTCTGGATACTGGCAGTGGGATGAGCTGGCGCCAACTGACTTCAGCCGCTACCCTAAACCAATCAAGGAGCTCTTCACTGGAGTACCGAACCAGCCCTCGGCCGCCATGAGCTGGCGGGATGGCCGAGTCTATTTCTTCAAGGACAAAAAGTACTGGCGCCTCAACCGGCAGCTTCGGGTAGAGAAAGGCTATCCAAGAAACACCGCCCACAACTGGATGCATTGTCGTCCTCGCACCCCCAGCACTACATCAGCTGGGGACACCACTCCCTTGGCCGTGGATACCATCTCGAACACTGGCGCAGTCTTGGACATTACTTCCTCAGCCACAGACTCCACTATGCTTTCACTACCTGCTGATGTCACCTTTCCAGAGGCCTAAGACCGAATCAGATGTTTATTAGAACTATAGCGGGGTCATGAACTAGACCTCCAGCCTCTGAAAGTTTCGACTCCAGCCACTACTCTCCTGAGAGGTGATTCCTTTACCCACACTCCAGCCAGTGTCTCATTGTAGACAGTCTTAGAAATCACTTCCAACTGTGTCATCTCTCTGGAAGACAGTGGTGGAAGGGTGTGTCAATCAGGCCCTTAGCTGACAGGACGAGGCAGCTGCGGAAGCTGGATACCTGGGTTCTGTTCATCCTAGATAAAGTGCAAGAAAATAGTATGGCCAGTAAAATGATTTGTTTTGAGCTCACTTTATAGCCCAGGCTGGTCTCAAACTCGCAACGGTCCTCCTGCCTCAGCCTCCCGAGTGCTGGGGTTACAGGCGTGTGCCACCACGCCCGGCTCTGGCCAGTAAAATGAGCAAGGGCTTTGGACTTCTCGAGAATCACATTTGCCTGCTTGCCACTTGGGCCCACTAATTCACCTCACTGACGCCTGGATTGTCCATTAGCAAAGCAAAGTTAATACCAACCCTGCACAGATGTTGCACGACATGAAATACTGTGTGTAGACAAAGTGTCTCGCAAGTCTGTGGTTAATAAAGGCCAATTCCGTGTTTCTAAGAAAGGACTCAACGCTCTTCCTCTACCCGTCTGAGTGTGCAGCTCCTGCAGTGTTTGGTCCGATAAGGGCACGCCTATCGGATTTTTAGGAGACAGAAGATTTATTAATATGTCTACTTCTTTGAGGCTGCAGGGGAAAAACAGTAGCAACAGGAGAGGCAGAATTCCCCGGTTGTTTTCAATGCCATTTTATTCACATGGCCCCTTGTCCTCCCTTCCTCCAGCACAGCCCTGCTGCCCTGGAGAGATGCGTTCTCCTTCATGCTGTCTGGGAAACCAGGGACAGACTGGGGAGCAGAGTCGAGGGGGCGGTTAGTATATGTGCTGCCAGGGTGAGCACATCGAGGGGGCAGTTAGAAGGGGTTAGTGGCTGAAATACGACTCTGGTTAAGGAGAGAGTTAGTATCACCCGCAGGTGGAGCAGGCACTTTTCTCCCACGCAGCCCTGAAGACCAGACTCCTTTGGGCAAAAGGGCAAGGCTCTGGCATGTGGCCAATGCTATCCTCTTGGAGCAAGAAGCCAGCTTTTGGGAAGGTGGGTGTTGAGGCAGGTGCTGGAGTCTTCCCCAGGTTGGGGAGAGAAGGGGAAGCAGCACGGAGGACAGTGCTCCCCACTGAGGTAGGAAAAGGGGGCTCAAGCCTATCGGGTGCAAAGGGAAAGGCCAACCAGAATCCCAACTATGTCTTCATGAGCGGCCTGGGGAATTCTGAAACTCTTTTGTGCTGTTCTCTTCGTCAAAAGCCGTCCTATGTCTTAGGAAGCTCCCTGATTTCCCGTAGGTCCCGTAGCCCCTTATTTCACCACTGCGAGGCACACTGAGATGGGTATTTACCTGGGTAGAAGCCCTCCCTGCTTTGGAGAGAATCCGGGAGTCGGTGTCTGTAGGGAGCAGGGCGCCTCTATTACCGGGCAGAGGTAGGTAGTCATATTTCTGTTCCTCTCCCCTCCCCACAAGATTGTTCTCTTCCTGTCCCTGAAACATCTACAAGGCTGGCCTGGAGAACAGGTCCCACCCCCCAATCCAAGAGGTGGAGAAGTGTGTGTATGGGTGCTGTGGGCCCATTCGGGTGGGGTGTCAGTGGGTGAGGCTCAAGTCTGAGTTGAACCAGACGGTGTGGTGAGGGGTACGGTGGAAGCACAGTCAGAATCCAGGTCCAGGATGGTGCTGGGAGCTGTGGCCAGGGCGCCTGGTCCCAGCTGGCGGTCTCGAAGACTCTGGAGATAACTCTGAAGCGGTGCAGAGCAAAAGGACAGAGGGGGGCCCTGGGTCAGAGCCCCCTCGCATCCTGACCATCCCCATATACCCTCTGCCCCATCCCCTCAGGGTGCCCCAGCCCCCCACTCACTGGAGCCAGGCTGTCGGCAGGGCTCCGGGCACTGGCGGGGAGCTGGCGCCGATAGCTGCCCTCACATGGTCCCACCCCAGAGGGGGTGCGGTGCCACTTGGCCTCTTGTGAATGGATCCGAAGAAGCTGGAGATGCCTTCGCTGGTGGCTCAAAGCCACTGAATTGGAAGGGGGAATTCAGACTTAAGGGGGGCTCTTGAGGCCCTGAATTCTACTCCCAAACACACTCATACGCTACAGAAACCCATTGGAACTTGCTGTTGTGTTCTCTCAAGCCTCAACTCACCCTCAGTTACTGGAATTTTACTTTTTTCTTCTAGGAGCTTCCTTTCTTCTCTTTCACGAGAGTCCCAGATAACTTGCCCCTGCATCCCCTGAAAACTCCTCGTCCTCACCCAGACACCCTTGGCTACTCCAACTCTAACTTTCTTCAATGCGCCGTCCCAGCTGGCTTGGATTCCCTCCCCCATTCTTGTCCCTAATGTCTGATTTCTCCCCTTTCCTTCCTCAGGTCTGGGAAGTAGCGACACAAGCAGGCACAGGTTGGCTAGTTCTACGCCAAAGCACTAACTCACCGTTGGCGTGGCCTCCGCGTTCCTCAGTCATGAGCTTCCACTGGGCCAGGGCCCCAAGAGCCCCCAAGGCCGGCCAGGTCCCTAGTAAGACCCAGCTATACCAGCAGAAAGGAGGCAAAGCCGTAAGTGCCTGCAGGCGCTGGCCCAGCCGACTGCCCAGCGCCAGCCCCTCCAGGAAGTAATCAGCGCAGGCCACTAGCACTGCAGCACCCAGCAGGGCTGTGCCCAGAATTGTGAAGTGACGAGGCCACCGAAGTGTCAGCAGGGCTCCCAGGAGTGCCAGACCCACCAGCCCTCCGACTGGTACCCAGGCTGAAGGCGGTTGGTAGATGGGCTCTGTGGCCAGCAGGGCCCCAGCGCCCAGGGTCAGACCCAGCAGGAGACCAGTCAGGAAGAGCCCAACGCTGCGAACCAGCATGGTGACCAAGCCGCAGAGGAGTCCGATGCCCAGTGCGATGCCTGCGCTCACCTCCAGGCTCAGCTGTGTCTCCAGCACCCGCTCCTTGTGGCACAGCAGGAAGATCACCAGAGCTCCTGACAGCAGGCCCGAGAGAAACATCACTGCCTTGAAGCAGCGGTACCCTGGGAAGGGAGGCAAGAGGTACTGAGAGGTGGAAAGGGGGCTTGATCAGGGAAGATTTGGGAGGATGGGGAAGGACGGCTATCCAGAGGGGCAGAAGACAGAAGCAGCACATAAGGGGACCTCAGGGCGAAGTGAGGAAAGGGATAAGCTTAGGGCTGGAGGGGAGGGGCGTTTAGGAGCTGTGGGGGATGGGAGGGAAAGTCAGGAGGCAAGATGAACGCACTGAGGAGAGTAACTGTAGGAAGGTCTAGGCCTTCTGCAGATAAGCCATAGGAAGAAATGACCACAGGCTGATTCAGGTTTCTGAGGAAAGGTGAAGAAGTCTCAAGAATGGAGGATAACTGGGCATGCAGTTCTGAGGGATGAAGGCACAGGAGGATAAATGATCGACGGCAGAGATCAGAGCTGGAGGGCATGGGCAAGGCGGCGGGCAAAAAGCTGGCAAGGGCAGAACGGGCCACTCTGAAGGTAGGCATTCCCTGACAGAGTGGGAACAGACACATCTGCATCCTCCTTGAGTGTAACAACCTCAGGCAGCTGCCCCCCAGGACCTCGGCCCTGCCCTCACCAAAGCAGCAGTAGATGATTCCAAAGCAGCAGCAAAGGGCACACACCAGGGCAGGTGCCAGCTCAGGGTTGTCCTGGGGCTCCAAGATACATCTTGACTCCGGAGGCTCTGGGAGTTGCTGATTAAAGGGCCTGGGATCCGCTGTCACGGTCAGGGGTAGCAAGGCTTTCTCCATGGTCCGGGAGGAGGTGGTCACAGAGTGGGAGGTCAGGGTCCGCTCCTCTCACCCATCCATGAATGTCTCGAGGGTGTCGGGAAACCTGCAGGAGGACAAGGGAGAGAACGCATGTGTTCCTCAATCTTGAGGACTCTGCCTCTGTTTTAAAGAATGGCCAATTTTAGGCAGGAGAATGGCTCTGTTGCCGTAACTAAAGAAATCTACAGGCTTTTGTTAAGGGGAGTGGGATGTCTCTTTATCGCCCTCTAAAATGAGGACACTAAGGAAAACTTAAACGAACTCTCCTGAGGTAATGAGCCTTTGTTTTTCAGGGTGAAGTAAGAGTAGGAAGCCCTGGGTCTGTGAGGAGAAGGGTGCCAGGGCTTAGGGGCTGACGCCCCAGCAGCCTCTCTGAAAAGAAAGCCTGCCTCATCTGCAGCAAAGACTGAATACTCCTCCACTGGATTGGAAAAGGCAAGGTTAATAAACAGGGGAGAAGGAGGGGGAAGAGGAGAGAATGAGTCATCCTGGGGTCTCAGGACAACTGCTGTAACCCCAGGGAGGAAAGAGGGAAAAAGAAAAAAGACACCAAAACAGTTTGGGACAAGGAACTAATTAGGGACAGTCATGCTGTTTGTCAGGGGTTTGAAGCCTTGGCTTGGGGCTGAGATGGAACTGTTGGGGGCAAGGGGGTTTGCCTCCGCAGTCCAAATCCCGCACATGGGACAGAGGAGCCTCGCTCACGGAAGTCTCACATCCTGCCATCCACTTACTCCTTCCCTCAGGACATTGATGGAACTTTTCCTACTCTTGCCCCAGGGGAGTGAGGGCTGCCAACGGGATCTGAATTCAGATCCTGAAAGGAGATCACCAAGGAAGGACTGGCAATTGGAGTACTGTGGGAGCGGGGTGGGAGAGATGCAGGCACTTTCCTTCAGCTGTCTTTCGGATACCAAGGTCCTAACAGGCTGAGGAGTGGCTTGGGGAACTGCTGGGACCCTACACAAGAGAAGGTTGGGGAAAGGATATTAACTACTCACCACCCAGCCAGGGCTGAGGCGAGGAGCGGGGGTGGAAGTGCTTCCCTAGACCCCCAGGGGCATCCTAGCCCAGAGGTCCTAGGTGCCGGGGCGGGTGTCGGGCGTGGGCACCCCCAGGGCCACTCTGTTCTTTGCTCCCTAAAAACTCTTGCAAGTCGTAGCCCAAGCCCGGTGAGCTAAAAGCAACTAGCCTGGGGGGCGGAGGAAGGGGACAGGGTGTGTGTGTTGGGGGGTGACATCACGGGGCGGGCTCCTCCAACCCTTTCGTCTGTGTGTGGGGGACACAGTGGCTTACTGGTCTACTCCAGGACCAGACTCCCAACCATGGCGGGGAAGGGTCTTTGGGGACATAGTAAGAGGTTTGGGGAAACGTCTGTGAAAACTGAGGAGAAAACTGCACAACTCGAAACTCTCAAAGTCCCAACTGGGGTCTCAGCTCCCCCCTAGCTCCAGCTTGGTTTCTTCCACTTCCCAGAGAATTGGAGTATTGTCTTCTAGAGAACTGGGTGGTCGGGATCCCGGGGGGACCCAGGGAAGGGGGTTTTACTGGTCTCGGGGAGGTGGCGGAGGGGTTTATGGGTCGAAAATCTTGCGGAGCAAAACGGGGTCTGGATGGAAAAGGGGCAATGACAGAACTGTAAGACCGGAAAATGTGCAGAGGAGGGAACCCAGGGTCTGCGTGGGGGCGGGGGCGCGTGTCGACGTCGGCGGAAAGGCTTGGTATGCAAATGAGATGCAAAGCAGCATACAGATGAGCGCAGTGTTCTATTGCTCTCGGCCCTGGTTCTAAGCCCGGCCGAGCCACGCTCCCCGTCCCCTGGCTTCGTTCTGTGACCAGGCCTGGGAACGGCGTCCCGAGGGGGGGGATCCGGGGCGTGGGAGCTGCCGTTATAAGGGAAAGCTCGCCAGCTGGGTCAGCCGCGGTGGAGGCCGAAGGCTGCTGGGAGAGGAGGGGCAGCGCTGCAGAGCCAGGGCGGGGGCTAGCCCGGGGCATCCTCTCCTCCGCGGATACAAAAGGTCCTCTGTCCTTGCTACAGCCGGTAGGGAAGGGATCTGGGCGGTGGTTCCTCTGCGACCCCTGGCCTCGTCTGCAAGGGAAACAGACTATGTGTGGCTCGGTAGTTGTCCTCCATCTCCCGCTGTCTGCAAAGCCCAGGAGTAGAGCCGCAGCAACTCTGAGACTCGGCCCCCAGCCCGCAGGCACTGCGGCAGAGCGGCCGCGCTGCGCCTTCGGCCGCGCCATCTGCGGGCACAGCCGGCCCGCACGCGGAGGGCAGCCTCGCAGGGCCCTTTAAGGGGCGGGCCGGCGCTCTCGAGGGCCGCCTCCTCCGCTTTGATTCAGCGCTAAGTGGACTGGCTTGCGCCTGGGCCAACTGCTTTTTCTTTTCCTTCCCGTCGCTTCCCCGATGACCCCGGAAGTGGAAGTCGGCGCAGGTCGGCGGCCGCGGCGGGGACGGAAGGCGGAAGCGGAGCGGGAGCGGGAGGCGGAGCCGGGGGAGCTGCTCGCGTAGCTCCCCCTGGCCCCAAGGCCCAGCTGCTCGAGGGGGAGGAGTTACCGCCGCTCTTCGGTACGTTACTTCCGCCCCTTCCGTCCAGCCCCGTGGGCTCTCGGGGAAGCCGGAATTCCGTCTCCAGCTTTTCTTTTGGGGCCGCACGGTCCCCACCCTTTCCTGACAGTTTGCGGTTACCCGCTTTCCGGCTGTCTTTACCTTTTTTCCTAAGAGTGACCCTTGGACCACACCCTTTGCAGTACCTCCTTTTCCGGACTGAAGATTATGGCTTCCTGGAGGAAGAAGAAAAACTAAGATTTGGAGGAGGCGGGAGGGTCCAAGAGGGGTTTTGGTTACTCTGCTTCTGATTTGTTAAGGATTAGTGAATGCCCCGGGGGATTTGGGATAGGGAGGGAGGAGAGTACATGAAATAAATCCCCAATGTAAGTTTAAGTCCCCTTTGGCCCCACCCCTGACTATGCCCACTTTAATACCTTTGTTCCAGGCACCAGGACGTCCCACGATGGCTGTGACTTAAAACCCTCAGGAAGCCCTGGGGTCATGGCCCAGAAGCATCCGGGAGTAGGAGGGTTGTGTGGAGCCCGCCACGGTGGTGATACCTCCCTCAGGACTTTAGGACCCTCCGCGGACCCTGAAATACTTGCATTCTCAGGACTCAGGGACTCAGCAGGAACTGCTCCTAATGGTACCCGCTGCCTCGCAGAACACTCTGGTCCTAAGTACACACAGCTCCCAAATCCGGCCCATTGGTCAGATCCAAGCCATGGCCCCCCAAGGGGCCCAGGACCACCTAGGGAAGGAGAAGACCCTGATCAGAGTGAGGCATCTTCAGAAGAGGAGTCAGGAGTGGACCAGGAACTCTCAAAGAGTGAGGGTGGGTACCATGAGGATGGGAACCCTTTTCTTTCCATTCCATCTGCTTGTAACTGCCAGGCAACCCCTGGAATTCCACAAGGGCCTTACTCTGAGGGAGGAGATGGCTCTTCTACCAACTTTTGCCACCAATGTACCTCTCCGGCCTTGGGGGAAGATGAATTGGAAGAGGAATATGACAATGAGGAACCTCTTAAATTTCCAAGTGAATTTTCACGAGTGTCCAGCGGAAAGAAACCTCTATCCCGGAGACAGCGGCACCGCTTTCTGACCAAGGAGGATAATCGAGAGGGTGGACGCAGAGATCCCAGGTCCCCTGGTCGACATCGGCTGGGCCGGAAACGGAGTCATACAGATAAGCGCAGAGGCCTGGGGTTATGGGGAGCAGAAGAACTATGTCAGCTTGGACGGGCAGGTTTCTGGTGGTTGATTGAACTGCTGGTGTTGGTGGGAGAGTACGTGGAAGCTTGTGGCCATCTCATCTATGCATGCAGGCAGCTGAAAGGCGGTGATCTGGACCTTTTCCGAGTTTGGGTGGGAGCCTGGGCAGGGCGGCTGGGCGGCTGGGTCCAGGTAGTGTTCCAATTTCTAAACCAGGGATTTTACTATGGGGCAGGGCTGTTCACCCGTTTTCTTAGGCTAATGGGTGCTTTGCTGCTCCTGGGTCTGGCCCTCTTTTTGGGCTGTCTCCAGTTGGGCTGGCAGTTTCTGGTGGGCCTGGGTGACCGGTTCGGCTGGAGGGATAAGGCCACCTGGCTGTTTTCTTGGCTGGATTCTCCTACCTTGCAGCGTTGCTTGACTATGGTGAGAGACAGCAGGCCATGGCAGCAGCTGGTAAGGATAGTTCAGCGGGGTTGGCTGGAGTTGCCTTGGTTCAAGCAGAGGACTAGTAGCCAGGGGAATGCACCTGTAGCTAGCGGGCGCTACTGCCAGCCGGAAGAGGAAGTGGCTCGACTCTTGACCATGGCTGGGGTTCCTGAGGATGAGCTAAACCCTTTCCATGTGCTGGGGGTTGAAGCCACAGCATCAGATACTGAACTAAAGAAGGCCTATAGGCAGCTGGCAGTGATGGTGAGTATACTTCTTCTCAGTTTCCTGTTGCTCTTTGTTCCCTTATTTTATTTTCTACTCCAGTTTTAGGGAGAGTGGAATAAAGGGAAGGCAGAACAGAAAAGTCAACTAGTAGGCGAAGGGTAACATTTGTAGGAAACAGTCATAGGGACTTTTTTCTCTGTACTGTGGGATCTGACTTTCCCTTCTCCATCTTAAATCTTTTGTCTTGAGATTTTAAAAAATAATTTATTTTTTGGATCCTCATACAGCAGGCAGTGTTGAACTTACCTTGAAATAGCTAGACAAAGTCCTTTAACTTTGTATTGGGGAAGAGTCCTATTCAGAGGGCATATCAGTAGCTCTCCCTTGAACAAAGAGGGGATTTTATTTTTTTATTTTTTTGGTTTTTTTCTGGTACCGGGAATCGAACTCACGACCTTGCGCTTGCCAGGCAGGCGCTGTGCCCCTGAGCTACATCCCCAGCCCCAAGAAGGGATTTTAAACATGGGGAAACTCAGCTATCTCTCCAAGAGGCAACTGTGGACCTAGTGGGGGAGGGCTCAGGGAGTGTGTGTGAATGATTATACCAGGATCAGGTAGAAGAAAACAGCTTATGTGAGGCTAGCAGCCCAGAATAGAAGAGGGAAGGAAAAAGGAACATAAATCATAAGGAGATTTATTTATGCCTGTGTGTGTCATATATGAAAATATGGTTGTGCTGGGTGTGGTGGCACATGCCTGTAACCCAGCACTCTGGAGGCTGAGGCAGGAGGATCATTCTAAGTTTGAGGCCAGTTCTGGACTACATAATGAGAGCTTGTCTCAAAAAAAAGAAAAGAAAATATGGTTGCTTTTATTGATAAGGGCCTGTGCAGGTGGGGATCATGATGTACCATAGGCTTGAAGGAAATACCCATAATTTAATGCAAACATTCAGATTAATATTAGAAGTAGATAGTAGGTTGCTCTTTTTAGATACATAATTGTTGCTATTTCTGGACAAGTAAAACTATGTTCATAGCAATGTGTTTAGACTGCATTGGACACTTACTTTTACTGAGTATATATAGAGCTGAACTGATAAAACATCACAGTATACAGATTATCTCCATGGCTTGTGGCACAAAAGAGAAATGAGCAACCAAGGTTTCCATTTAAAGGTACAATAGACTCCCAGGCCTGTAGCTTACTGTCTTAATCCCAACATTGGACCATGGATCAATCATAAGCTCTAGAAGCCCACTCCATGACTGCCTGAGGCTTTTGGGGGACCTCTAGACACAAACCATAACATTCCACCCCTGGCCCCCCAAAGACTCGTACATCCCTTTATGCAAAAGGCATTTTAGTCCATCTCTGAGCTGTCAAAGTCCTAATAGTTGCAGCACTGCCAAAAAGTTCAAATCCAAAGAATCCTATGACATGTAAGGCAAACTCTTAAGCTGTGGACCCTGTACAAATGAAAATTAAACACTTCCAACATTCAGTGGTACAAGATAGACATTACCATTCCAAAAAGTACAAATAGGAGGGTACAAAGCATTGGGACCAAAGCAAGTCTAATATCCAGCAGGGCAAACATTAAGTCCTGTAGTTCCATGTGGAACATCTGAAGCAATCTGTGGTAAACTGTGAGCTCTAAAGGGCTCGGGTGACTCCATTCCTATGGCACTTCTGGTGGTTGTAGCTCCTAGGGCTTGTCTCTTGGGCTGGCTTTGCTCCCTCCTTGCAGCTTTCCTCAAACAATCCATGTTCTTGGCTTTTCCAACTTTCTGAGGTCTCCACTGCATTTTAGGTTTCTCACAGCTTCACATACTGCCCTCACAGGCACACCGCCTAGCCTCCCAGACCTTCCGAAATTGAGGTGGAAGCCTTCTGAACCTCGTAACTCTTGCATTTTGTGTGTATCTAAAACCAGTGCCATGTGGATAGTGCTAAGGTCTGCTGCCAGCTGGAGCAGTAGCCAAGCTTTCCTCTCTCTTGACCATAGGGGTCGAGTGCCCGGATCGCTGGGCACTCTGAATCCAATTCTGAGGAACAAATTCTGTATGCTACCACCATTCTGGGACCTGGTGAGGTTCCCGCCACCATTCTGGAACATGATGCTCTGCGGCTTTCTCCTCAAAGCAAAGTGTTTCATCTTTGCAGGTTTGAGGCTGCAAAGGGTGGAGATTTGCTGCTTCTTATGATGCCCTCAAGCCACCTTTTATATTTTCCTGTTGCTTCTCAGCAGTCGAGATCTCCTCAGCTCTACCTTTGCAATCCACAGCTTTATTGGAGCTTCCTTTCTGGGCAAAGTCACAACATTTTAAATCAACCCTGCTGGACTCTTTGCTTTTGATTCTCAACATAAATCTGGCTAAAAGCCCCCAACAGTAGTCATGCCACTGCCTCAACATTTGACTGCCTTGAAATTTCTTCTGCCAGATTAATTAGTCCACCACCCTTAATCTCAGTCTTAGGTGAAGTCTCTGGACACGAGCAAAATAAGACAAACTTTCTGCCAAGCCATAACACACATCATCTGGAGTTCAACAACCAATGCAGTCCTTCCCAGCACAAACCTCCCAAACCTGGTCTTTACTGGCAGGATTTCTATGAGCCTCTTGTCTTTTGAGCTCTGACCAGAATCTCCCATACTGAACAGCCAAAGGCATTTTAGCACTTCTCTTTGAGGTGAAATCTCTGAACCTTTCCAGACACTCCCCACAAGCCATTTCCGAAGGTTCTTGAACCACAGAGTCAGGTGTAGTCACAGCAATGACCCCCCTCCTCTGGTGCCAAATTATGTCTTGTTACTTTTCTGTCCTTGCTGAGACAAAATATCTGACACCCAGAATTAAGGAAGGAAAAGTTTATTTAGCTCACAGTTTGTGGAGGTTTCAGTCCATATTTGGCTGGCTCCAAGGCAGGGTGGCGCATAGCAGAGAGCAATAGTTCAAGACTGCGGAGGACAGCAAAAGCAACAAGAGCAAAAGGGAGGAGCAGCAAGCAGCCTCTTACCCTCCTTTACATTGTATGCAAACTACCCAGGGCAGGTGTAGCACTCACATCTGTAATCCCAACATTGGACCATGAATCAATCATACACTCTAGAAGCCCGCCCCATAACTGCATGAGGCTTTAGGGGGACATCTAGACACAAACCATGACACTTACCAAAGAACTGATTTAATTTGGTGGAAATGCTCCTTAGTGGAGAACTGGGATATTCTAGGTAGGTATCAAGTACTTACCCTCAGATTGTTACTAGTATTAGAACTCTTTTCTCACCTTCTTGTGTTTTTATAGATCTCTTGGTGAATGTCATTATGACACATATTCTCATTTTTCAGTTTAGTTCATTTGGAGTAGAAATGTAGTTAAGGTCCCCTATCTTTTACACACCTGCCCCTAAAGTCCTCTCTTGTTCTGGGCCAGAGTTTCTGCTGCCTTCTTTTATAAAGCTTCTCACTGATCTTGCTGGTTTCCAGTGTGAACATATCTAAAAGGCCGTTATGCACATATTAGCTCTTTTTTTTGAACTGCAGAATTGACCCAGGGCCTTCACACTGAGCTACATCCCCAGCACTTTATTTCATTTTATTTTATTATTTATTTTGAGACAGTATCTCAGTTCAGGCTAGCTTTGAACTATTTAGCCTAGACAGCCTCCGAACCATTGGAATCTTCCTGCCTCTGTCTCCTGAGTGCTGGGATTACAGGCATGCATGACCACATCTGGCTTATTTTTGAGACAGGGTCTCACTAAATTGCGGAGTTGCCCAGGCTGGGATCAAACTTGTGATCCTGTCAGAGTGGTGGGATTACAGGCATGCACCGTTGTACTTGGTTTATATTAGCTTGATAATGTAGGGTTTTGGTTTTTTGAGACAGGAATTGCTGTGTAGTTCAGGTGGGGCTTGGATTATGTAACCCAGGCTGGCCTTCAAACTATTGTGATCCTCCTGCCTCAGCATCCCAAATACTGGGATAACAGGAATGTGCCACATCTGGCAGAGAATATAAGTTTAACAGCATCCTTTTTATTTGGCTTTAGAAAGGAGACTCATCTGTGTACATTTTTTGGGAACACTGAAGAAGCTATAAGAAAGGTTAACTGTCATGGAGAAAAGACTGAAAATTGTATTATAAACCTCTGAGATCACAATATACTGTTTTATTTCTAGGACTGAAAGGACTATTATAGGAAGTTTTAGATATGAAAGTTTTCTAGTTGGAAAATAAAGAGTTTGAACATGGCACTTTGGAACTCTTACTTTATAAATGACCATAAAACTAAAATGTGAGGGCTTAGTATTTGTGTACCAGTTAGGGTGTCCAACCATCCGTGTTCGTCTGGGAATGTAGAGTTTCTTGATACAGGATTTGCAGTGCTAATTTGGGACAGGCCAAGTGGAATGGTGTCTGTATTGGTTTGGGGCTTATTTTGCAAGGGGAACAACATGATACAGGACACATACTTTATATGATTATTTATAAGTCACCCAAAGAACAGTATACAAAAGAGTGCAGGAAATCTGTCCACACACTAAGACCAAGGAATCCAGCTGAGGGCCTGGATCCCACCATAGTGTCCTACATGAGTTGAGCTGAATACCCACAGCTCATAACAATGCCTCCCATGAATTCAATTGGAGGCCCAGAACCCATGACAACGTCTCATGCAGGCCTGTTTCACGGATTTGCTGGGAAGGCCCAAAGGTCAGTGGTGGAATCTACAAAGTCTGTGCCAGCAGGAAGAAGGATCTGTACTAGTAGGCTGAGGGATCTGCACTGGAGCCAGGAACTGATGCTCAGAAGAACCAGAGCTCCCACGAAAGGTACCACGGCCATCCTCGGCAACTGTGAGGTCCCGAGCTCCTCCGATGATCAGGATGGCCGAATTCCCATCAGGGAAGCCAATGCAGCAAGCTTTTCCAAGAGTCGGGCAATGCATCATCTTCCCCTCTGGAACCAGGCAGCTATGCTCAAGTGAGGACCAGAGCTCCCCAAAGTGAACCAAAGCCATTCTCAG